GGGGGGGGGGGGGGAGTTCGCTTTTGCGTACGCATCAATCTTCTCGTAGTGCGGAGGTTCGTAGAGACCCAGTTTACGCAGACGCATGCCAAGCTGACGTCGCGTGCTCTTGTTGCTTGGCATTTGGCCACTTTCGAGCAGTGCCACAATGGGATCAGAGGCCCCCTCAATCTTGGCAAACTCAGCCTTTAATATCGCGTCCTCCTACGGATCAGGCAGCGAGAATTGAGGCGACATGCCTTTCTTCCAACGCGCATTTCAGTTGAATCAAATCGTTCCCACAATGCAAGCCTGGAAAGCTTGTGCGTACCTCTGGCGTCCACACGCGACTGTCGCTGATCACGAGCCCCATCTTTTTCATTTTGAGCTTGACCGAGCGCTCCGATCGGTCTGGGAACGCGGCCAAAATCTCATCGAGCGCGTAGCCGCTCTCTTGATGTTCCTTGTACAACAGCTGAATCTTGGCTTCCTCTGCGTGCAACGGCGAGAAAAGAGATTCAGTACGGTCGACCTTGCGTGTGGCCACCCCCGACGATGAGGGCATTTAATCAATGGCCATACCTTCAGGAGACCAGCTCACCACCTTGTGGTTACGTCGGCGAAGGGCTTCGGCGTAACCGTGCTGAATTTCCTCCAAATCGCCTGTCGTCTTGGTAAACATAAGCTCCACAAACAGCAGCGGATTCTTCCCCAAGTCCTCGATCAAATCTAAACGACAGGCGTGAAATGAACTGTATTCCAGATGGATACCTAACGACGCCAACACGGCTAAACTCACCTTTAATGACACCCGATTTGATGAAACCGCGCAGCTCGGCAAATTCGGGCTGCTTACGGATGACATCGTCCTCCAGAATGCCGAGGAAAACGCGCAAAACGGAGAGCTGTAGGTATGGCACGGGTTTCGGATCAGGACTCGTGTAGAATGACCACATACATGCGGAGGAAAAACATTCATGGGCAAACCTGATACAGGAGCTGGCGGGCGTTGAGCTTTTCGGGATTGACAATCCGGTCCAGCATCTTGACGGCAAAATGATTCATCTCCCGACCATTGTATCGGTAGCGAGCCAGCACCTCGACATAGGCCTTGACCACGCGAAAGTCCTTGAATTTCTCCAAATAGCTGTGACAAAGCATCGTGAGAAGAGTTGTAAGACCCATGGCTACCGTGGGGTGCGGCTTGACAGAAGAAAAGGAAACAAGATTCGAGCTGGTATAGCGCATAAGACGCACTTGTTAAACTGAAACTCTGCCTCTTGCACCTGAATGTCCTCCTGCTTTTGCAGGTAGTGCTCAAGCTCCTCATCATTGAGTCCACCTTCCCCAGTCACAGTAGGATTGGCTGTGTCGTCCGCTCCCTTGTCACCATCTCCTTCCTCGTCCGAAAAGAGCTGCCACCAGGGTCCATATGTGCCCATGTGAGTGCCCACGCGCCTGCAAAGCGCATATGGATCTGGAGAAATGCCATACCTCATCAAGGGCCGTGTCGCGCACACCGCCGAGATCATCCGCGTCCATGTTGGTCTTGCCTGCAGATTTGCTCGCTTTGGGTTTGGCCACTTCTGCATTTGAGCTGCTAGCACCTTCCGGTTGCCCCTTGGCTTTGGGCTGGGTCTTCTTCTTGCGGCGCGTTTGGCGTTTCTTCTTGACGTACAGTTTGGTGGTGTTGCTGTTCAACAGCTTGAGAACAACGTGGACGGTGCGTACAATGTCTCGCAGCAGGACATCTGATTCGCTGCGTGCATTATAACGGATGAGCAGCTTGGGAAACACGTCAAGAAACTCCTCCCGGTAAAATGCATTGCCTGCGCAGATACAATTGCAACAGAAAGACAGCGTAAGTTGACCATCAATAATTCGCAATGTCATGCCTGTGTGCATCATGGCCAAGAGCTACCGGTGCAAGACGTACTAATGAGGTTGGTGGCGTAGTCACGCTGCTCTTCAACCGGACTCGAGGCCAAGCGGGAGGCGTATTGCATGAGTTCGTGGAAGGCACGAATGGCCGTGTGTAAGCGATGGCTCCACAACTTGGCATCCAATGCCCGCTCCAGCATCTTGTCAAAATACTCTTGCAGCCAGCTTTGGACGTTGTCCAGTGTGTTCAGGGACAAGGTCGTGCTGCGAAAAGATAAAAGTTATCGTTTGGTGAGGCATAACTCGTTCGCCCTTGAGTTCACCTGCACGTGTGGCTTGGCGATGAACAGAACCACAACACTCACGCAATTGGGTCCATCACGTAGCCCGGTGGGTCTTGAGCATCTGACGTCTGACGGCGTGGACACGCGATTGAGAACGCCAAACAACGAACATTTGAGTCAAGATCAGAGGGTCATTGCGCACGTCACCATAGAGTTGCAGCTGGGAGAGGACAAGAGCAATAGAGCACGCGAACCTCGGCGAGATCGGCATGGCAACCATCCTCTTCAAGCTGAAGGCGATGGAGCTGCATGCAGAATTGCATGAGTTTGAGATAATTGGATCGGTCATAATCAAGGACCTCGGCTTGCATGCCCACGGATTCGGCGTAACGCTCAAGCTCGGCGGCAACCGCGGGCATGAGGACATTGTAGGCATCAACAATAAAGGCGCAAGCTTGTCGGTAGAGAATCATGCGGACTTCGAGTGGGGAGCGCCGATCGTCGGGGGCGCGCTCCAGCAAGGCCCGCTTGGTGCGCTGAGCCTTGCCACTATTGTTGATGTTCGTGGGGGTTTGCAACGCTAGCACGTTGGTGAGGACCTCGCGCCCCTTCTGCTCCCCAAGGCCGCGCACGGCATAGTGTCCAGCAAAGCGCGAGTGTCGAGCTGTGCGAATGTGCCTAACGGGAAGGATGATGAGTCACACCAAGAACCAAATCAGTCGACTCAAAAGCTGGTGCAAGAAGAGGGCCAGGTTGAGAGAAAGAGCAGGCTTGACAGACTTGATGGTAGCTTGGCGTTTGGCCTGTTCTTCTTCGTGGAGCTTGCGAATTTTGTCGTCGCGGCGCGATGCAACTTTTTGGTGACGCGACTCCTTAATGACTTCAAAGAGGGCCTGTGGCGACTGTTCGCGAAAGAGGAGCGAGACAATTTCGAGCAGCATCATCTTGAAGGGCTCAAACTGTGGGCGAAACATGTGAGGTCTATGAGTGAAGCATCAAAAAAAGGCAGGGCGGCACAAGTAATCCCAAGTTATTGAGCAAGAGGCATACCTCGCCCATGTTGTTGCACATGCCCAAGACGAGGTCTGTAACGCCGGCCTCGTTGAAAGCTCGCACGGCCTTGTCATGCAGGGACTCGGCATGAACATTGTCCATCTACCAAAAGTGCCGAGCGTGAGTGGTGTACAAAAGAACCGTGCAGGCAGGAGGGGACGAGCGAGCTTTGACACAACCTGCGGGTTGGGCGCGTGCAGGATGTTGCGCAAGAGTGTGAGGATGAGCTCGATCAAGTTTTCGTCCTGCTCGGAGCGCAGCTCGGCCGTGACGGGTTCGTAGAGGATGGTCATGAGTGCCTTGAGAGCGCCTATGAAATACGATCATAAGACGCGACTCATGAGGTCTGCGGATGTGTGAGACTGGATGAAGACGGGCAAAGATGCTCGAAAGAGACGAACGTGGGGTAAAGGAGATGGCTTGATCGCTGGTCTCGGTGACCTCTGGATCGAAGTGATCGCGATAGTAGCTGATACAGGCAGCCTTGTATCGGGTCAGGTAGAGTTCCACCTGACGATAGTGGGCGGTTGCCTCGAGTTTCTCTGTTGAGATCGTGATGAGGACCGGGCTGGGTGAGGCATGGGGGACAAGGGATGTCGCTAGGGCGAGGCAGGTGGGTGGGCGCACCATTCACTTGGCCTTGGCCTTCATATTGGAATACGAGAAAGGCAGGCAGCGTCATGGCAGTCATCACCCTGGAGCAAGAGATGAAGGCCGTGTCTAGATGAGGTGGCAGTCGAGGCGGCTGGGCAGGAAACGGTGCCAGGGGATACGGGGGAGGGGGTGGGAGGCCGGAACAGAAACAGTACTTGAGAAGGGTGAGGATGAGCTTGGATTGCTTGGGATCATCACAGTATTGAATGAGCATAGGAACGAGGTCCTGTAGGGTATGGCAAGTAGCGGGCGCACGGCGGAGTGGTGATTGTTGGGTTAGAATAAAAAAAAAAATTGAAGCAAGGAAGGCTGAGCCGGGGCAGGGCAGGCGAGCAGACGAGGGGCGAGCCGGGTGGATCATACCTTTTGCAGGATCTCAAATTGGCCGAGCTGGCGCAGGACGGGGCGCATTTCATTACGCACGTCGATTCGCAGGTTGCGAAGGAGATCCTTGAGCACCTCTATCGAATGTTGGTTTGAGCACCGGGCACATACATGTGTCGCGGGTGTGTTTAGGGGTCAAAGAGCCGGGTCGAGGACATACCGAGGGATTCGGCGCCGATGCGATAAATCTGATCATCTTCGCCGCCCTCATGATCAATTCCACGCAGACCCAAAGCCGAGCAAAGCTGCAACAGACCATCGGCCCACTCGAGCGTCGCGCCGGCCGCCATGATGGCAGGCAGGCAGGCAGGAGGTGACGGCGAGCGCAGCACCCTGGCCAGGTCAACGACGTGCAGCCTTTGCTGATAGACACTGGCACTTGAGATGGGTTGCCCGTGGGCAAAACAGATCCCACACCACAGAGAGAGAGAGAGGGAGGGGGAAGGAGTTGGGAGAGAAGATGCTGCAAACAGGGCAAACGCTGGAGAGACAAGCCGCTGGCCACCGAGCGACCGAGCCAGCCCGCGACAAGCGATTTCGGCGCCAAAAAATACGAAAAAAAGAAAAACGGGCTTATAACGGCTAGTTATATCCGGGGTCAAAACATACCCGACTATACATTCAACACCCCTTGCTGCTGGTTTCGCATGAATTGTCAGATCAATAAAATCGTTGGTTTTATTTTAAAGAAGAAAGTTTAAAAAGGGGGATGTTGACAGTCTGAAGTGAAAAGTGGAGTGTAAGTGAGGGCCTGAGTGAGGGCCTGAGTGAGGGCCTGAGTGTGTGAGTGAGTGTGTGAGTGACTGACTGACTGACTGGCTGAGTGAGGGACAGAGACAGAGACAGAGACAGAGACGGAGACACAGAGACAGAGACAGACAGACAGACAGACAGAGAAAGAGAGACCACACAGCACACAGTACACACACAGCACACAAAACAGGTAGAGATGGAAGCAGAAGCCTGGGCAGAGATGATGAGCGAGAGAAGTAAAATGATGACAATATTACAAGGAGCTATCCATGTAGAATCAGAGACAAAGCGGTAGAGCGAACGCATATGGGAGAGGCAGAAACAGAAGTAGAGATTATTGATCGCTAAGAGGGCAGCGACGGCGGCGGGGCTTCGAGGACGGGCAGCTGAGAGCGCGTCTTGTAGACGTTGGGGAGAAGGTAGTAGGCGACTGGAGACGGTGCAGACGGTCTGAGTCGACAACGGCCTGATGCATCAAAAGGCACAACATACGTAAATCCCTATCAACGCAGTCATTATGATGCACGTGTCGTCAAGACGGCAGCCAGCCGACAGAAGAGAGGCGGCAACAGACGGCGGGACGACAGTATACAACAGGGACAGCCGATTCTTGAGCCACGTATCCCCAACAGTCCCATCATAGCCAGTCCACCCCTGTCTCTACTGAGCACCGTTGCTCATGATTTCGGCCCCAAACGTGTGATTGGCCACGATTGCGATCGTATGGAACAATACGAAAAAAAGCAGGAGGACTTGTTGTCCCCTCCCCTTCCCGCGTGTGCGCTTCACGGCCTCAAGACCCCCCCCCCTAAGGAAAGTTGAACCGAGGTTCGAGCACCAGCAGACGCCAACGCGAACACGGACATGGCCAACTGCCTGGCTCACCAGCTCTGGCTAGCCCCCAAACTGGATCGCTTGACCACCGGGGTGTGATAGAATCCTACGCGAGTGAAAGGTGTCAAAATTGCGTCGTTCACCTGTGCCCGACCCGGCCCGTCCAGTCCACACGTCTCTATCCGCACTGTTTCTGTTGGCCCCGTCCTCTGCCCTCTACCAATACAACCCTCGCGCCCCTCTGTCTGCTCTGCAGCTCTCTGTTTTATGCATCTCTCTCTCTCTCTGTGTCTCTCTCTGTGTGTCTCTCTCTGTCTCTCTCTGTCTCTCTCCCTCTCTCTCTGTCTCTCTCTCTCCCTCTCTCTCTGTCTCTCTCCCTCTCTCCGTCTCTCTCTCTCTCTCTCTCTCTCTCTCTCTCTCTCTCTCTCTCTCTCTC